TTGTTGGATATGTGTAAAATTATGTGTGTTGACATATCAACTGTCTTTACACGCTTGAAAGAATAAATCAAATCAAATCAAACTATGTGTTTGTGTGTGTAGGGGGATGATATATTGGACAGGAGCTCAGAGCTCATCTACACTGGGGAGTTGTCATGGATCTATCAGCCGTATGGACGCAGCCAGCAGCGAGTCTTCTTCCTCTTTGATCACCAGCTGGTCCTCTGTAAGAAGGTACACTATCTTTCTCTCATTGTTCTCCTTCTTCTTTTTGTGTGAGGACTTTGTTGGCTGAAAACAAGCTGACAAGTTAAAACACACCCTCATTTTGTGTTCTTGAAAGTTGTGCATCACATGGATGGTGACAGGGATGCTTGAAGACAATGTAACTTCTTGAGGAACTGCAAATATGTTACATAATGCTGTAGGAGATGCACCAGCCTTCAGTGAAGAAGTGTTCAAATCTTCTGTACCTTTCACAAAATGGAGCCGTGGTAGTTTAAGCTCTAATGCACCAAGGCTGTGCTTTCCTGTCAGACGGATGTTCACGCTCGGCTAAACCCAACAATAGATGCACACAGAGATACACACAAACGCAGGCAGACACTTGCACACAAACACACGCAAAGGCTGAAGAACTGCATCATCTCACACACACACACACACACACATACACACACACACACACACACACACACATATAAGTGTTCACACATTGCACATACAAACACAGAAAAAGAAAGACATATAGTAAATTGTCATTCAGTTTTTTATCCTTCCCTCTGTACCACCCGCACCCCCCCATCACAGTTGATCAGACCTCTGGCACTAGAACTGAACCCCAGTGTGTCTGCAGATCACTGCCTGTGTTAGTCATTCTTCTCCATTAAATAAAGTCAACTCCAAGACACTAAATTATAAATCTGAGTTTTTGTTCTTCCTTCTCTGGTATCCTCAGCACAGTGTGTGTAATGGCAGCCCTCAGGGTGTGCTTGTTGCACACTGCATGTAGCCTTCCATCTTTTCCTCTCATCTCTTCCTTATCAGTAAATGGATGCAGATTTGTCTCTACATGCTTATTTAAAGATTCCAGCTCCTTTTTTTATGTATGCCCTCCTTGACCTTATGGTGAGCCTGGATGCTATTTGGTCTTGTCGAAATGGTCATGATAAGGGTTGTTCTGTATGGCCATGTTGCTCCTGCAAGAACCAAAGTTACACTGGTTAAGCTTATTTGTGCTTGATGTGCTGTAGAGCTTGAAACGATTAGTCCATTCATCAGTTAGTCAACGGGGATAAAATTATTTGGCAGTTGTTCTGATGATGGATTACTCAACAAACATTCTCTGGTTCCAGCTTTTTCAGTCTGAGAATTTGCTGCTGTTTTTGTCTTACATTATAACAAATCAAGGTATCTGCGGGTCTTGAAAAGTCTTAATCTTTTTTGTGGAGTTTCACTCAGCACCATCAGACCTGCAGAAAACAGTGTCACTGCTTCTAGCTACAGTAGCAAGGAAGCTCGTGGACTTGTAATGAGGAGGTTGGAATTTTAGGAAAAACTGAAATAACCTTGAGTCTGCATGTTCTCCGTGTGCCTGCGTGGGTTCTCTCCGGGTGCTCCGGCTTCCTCCCACAGTCCAAAGACATGCAGCTTAGGTTGATTGGTGACTCTAAATTGTAGGAGTGAGCGTGGGTGTAGGAGTGAGCGTGGGTGTAAGTGGTTGTCTGTTTCTAAGTGTCAGCCCTGTGACAGACTGGCAACCTGTCCAGGGTGTACCCCACCTCTTGTCCAGTGTCAGCTGGGATTAGCTCCAGCCCCCTCGTGACCCTCTTCAGGATCAGCAGTATAAATAATGGATGGATGGATTAAATGAACTTAAGTGAATTAATCATTTGAAAAAGAATATTATATGTTGCTGGGAGGCACTTAAAAAATGTGATATTGTGTAATAATGAGCCCAACTACTGGTACATCCCTACTGGGTTTCCATCACTCTTTTTTCTTTTTAGGTTATAATAAATCAGAAGCTTAACTTGGTGAACCCTGCAGAGTCCTTTTAAACAGAATCTTTTTCTTTGTTTGTTGCATATTTTATGAGGCTGCAGCAGCAGAATCAGAAATCAGAATCAGAAATGATGCAAAAAAAAATTAGACAAATAAGATGAACTTCACAAAATGACCACTTCACTGCTTTCACATGAGGCAATCCACTTGAATTCAGTTTGGGCTGAGAAATATGAAAATGGCCTATAAGGAGCAGAAGAACATGTCTGCCATTAGGCTGACACCATTTAGTAATAAGTCTAAAGTCACATGTTGTTCTGTGCTGAGACATTGTAATATACTGTATTGCTGGTTTTTGGCAAATATATCTTTTACACTGACTGCATCCAGGGAACACAGTAGCAGAAACGCGTTGTGACACATAGCAGTCTGGTACAACAGAACCACAAAGCACAGGTTGGAAATTACAAGAACAGAATCAACACTGTTCTGACAGAAACTGGCAACAAATAGTGTGCATTAACTTCACAAAGTCATGGGTTACTGTAAAGTTGTTGCATATTAGATTGTACTGGTGTAGTTTTGTTGCAAAGGCCACTGTTTTTTTTGTTTTTTTTTTGTGATACCAAGCGAGCAGCAGATTTACTGAAAAACTCGTATGGAAGATGCTTGTATGCTCAGGCAGCAGATGGAAAGTGTTGCATAGGCTCTCTGGATACCAAGGGCAGAATGTGTGTTAACACCTCTACATTTCATCAGTTTTGTTGCAAAGGCCACTGTTTTTTTTGTTTTGGTTTTTGGCAAATATATCTTTTACACTGACTGCATCCAGGGAACACAGTAGCAGAAACGCGTTGTGACACATAGCAGTCTGGTACAACAGAACCACAAAGCACAGGTTGGAAATTACAAGAACAGAATCAACACTGTTCTGACAGAAACTGGCAACGAATAGTGTGCATTATTAACTTCACAAAGTCATGGGTTACTGTAAAGTTGTTGCATATTAGATTGTACTGGTGTAGTTTTGTTGCAAAGGCCACTGTTTTTTTTGTTTTTTTTTTGTGATACCAAGCGAGCAGCAGATTTACTGAAAAACTCGTATGGAAGATGCTTGTATGCTCAGGCAGCAGATGGAAAGTGTTGCATAGGCTCTCTGGATACCAAGGGCAGAATGTGTGTTAACACCTCTACATTTCATCAGCGCTTGCACACACACACACACACACACACACACACACATTAATAGACATCTTCTCCTCCTCTTCTCCAGGATCTGATACGACGGGACATCCTGTACTATAAAGGCCGCATCGACATGGATCGCTACGAGGTGCGGGACGCTATAGACGGGCGTGACGATGACTTCAACGTCAGTGTGAAGAACGCCTTCAAATTGTGCAACAAAGACAGCGAGGAGATCCACATCTTCCTGGCCAAGAAGCCGGAGGAGAAGATCCGCTGGCTCAGGGCCTTCCACGAGGAGAGGAAGATGGTGCAGGAGGATGAGAAAATCGGTTAGTCGCACACCTCTCTGCACGTTGCTGTTTGGAAGGATTTGTTTCATTCAAACTAGGCACTGGAGCTTCAGTTACCTATGCTGTATTTGCTGCAGCACACTACAAGGTGACATTTTAGCACATGACACAGGCTTCCCTACATAATGTACATCAAGTGAGTTTGACAGTCAGTTAGCCCTGACTGGCTGGGTCACGCTCAAACTGATGAATGTACATCTTAGGACACAACGTATTATTTAGATTTTTGTGCTTTGTCGTGACTTTATTTTGCAAAGCTTGAGCTCCTTTTTCACATGACGTACAGACCCTGTGTACAACATTTATACAACATAAAACATTGTTGTTTAGGTTTTGAGATCTCAGAATATCAGAAGCGGCAGGCGGCCATGACAGTGAGAAAGGTGACCAAACAGAAAGGTGAGGCAACAAGAAGATGTCAGGTGATTTCCCTTTTTTTTCCCTCGCTGGCGTGCTCTGTCTTCTCATCGCTGTTTACTCTTTCCTTTTTTGTGTTTAACTTTATGCACCTTTTTTTTAAACACGCATACTTTGTTTATGAATAGATCTAGCCTAGCCCTGTCCTAAGCAAGCTAGAAAAGTCATGTCTCACTATTATCACTTTTTCCTTTGCATTAAATGCCTGTCAGCACACACACACTAGGATGACTTGATATAAGTTGTAAAGCAGCTGTTAAGCATCAATGAAAAGACAGAGGGCTGTTTGCATGAATTATTGAGTTAAAAGGGTGACACCGGTGTTCGTGACATGTGGGTCTTATGTCACACTTGTCTTGAAATGATGTAATACCTCAGACAGCTGTTTACATGTTTTTCTTTTACTGAGGTGCCTTTTGCTTCTTTCGCCTGCATTTACACTCAGATTGTCAAAGCAAACCCTAAAGAAATTTACCCTTTTGGCTTTATTTCTGATGTGTTCAAGTGGTTTATAGTTATTATTATTGTTGTTGTTGTGTTTTATTACAGAATCTAAATTGTAGCACAAGTGCATTGTGTAATCTGGCACAGAGGAGCAATGTGACATTTTGAATTCAGGAGAAACATCAGTTATTTTGTCTTACTTTTTAAATTTAACATACTCTGTTTTGCTGTAGTACAACATGCAGTACTGTGCAAAAGAATTAGATATAACACCATTAGATTTGTTGTTTTAGCTATGTTTTGATGACTGCATATTTTTATTTATCCGAATACAATTAGAAAATATAGGAACTATGTACACAGTATTGAAAAACACAAACGTCAGAAAAAAATCAGCAAACAAACTGGATACTCCAAATGTGGTATTCAAGCTGTTCTAAGCAAATATGAAGAATCTGGAGAGGTCAGGGACAAAAACAGGAGTGGAAGACCATGAAAACTGTCTGATGAGACGTTTCTCAGAGTTTCTTCTTTGAGAGACCAGAGGAAATCCAGCAGGTGCCTGGCTCAGCATCCTGTACCTTCATCTGGATGCCAGGTTGGCCCTTCCGAAGTCCAAAGAAGCTCGATCAGAAATGGCCTTTGTGGAAGGACAGCAGCCAAGAAACTCCTTTTTCAGAAGCGGGACGGGGAGAAAAGGCTGAGATACTCAAATACTCACAAAGACTGGAGTGAAGCTCAGTGAAAAAGAGTTTTATGGAGTGATGAATCAAAGTTTGAAGTGTTCAGGTCCATCAGTATGTGAGAAGAAGAGTTGGAGGGAAGTGACGGAATGAGCTTACAGCCTTCAGTGAAACATGGTGGAGGGTCTGCCATGGTTTCAAGACCTCAACAGTCTCCCCAAAAGAATTCAAGCTGTGCTAAGTGCGAAGGGAGGACACACTAAATACTGACTTTGGACTGTAGAAGCCACTTTGTTCAGAAGAGGATGTCTTTGAATATTGTGTGCATATTTCCTGTATTTTCTGTTTGTATTTTGATAGAGACACTGAGGAATAAATATAGATTATCAGTAACCTTAATTTACAGTCAGTTAACTATGTGGTAATATAAAGAAATTGCTAGGAAATAGCCAGGAAAAATAACGTCATAAGTAGTTGTTTATGAATGACTGGAAATTACTTGGAAGTACCACATAATTAAAGCAGAATAAGGAGGTTTGATCAGTAATTCTGTTGTAATTTATTGGTATAATAACAGGTGTGTGTTCCTGTGACATAGCCAGGTACCTACATCATTTTTCCTGACTATTTCCTAGCAGTTTCTTCATATTACTACATAGTTAATGGCCTGTAAATTAAAGGGTTTCCAAATTATCACTACAACCTGGCTAAATGAACCCAGCTACATTAATGGTGGCCTAAGACTTTTGCAGTACTGTATGTCAGAATACAATAGCAGCAGCATTAACTCTATCTCACTTAAAGAAAAACACGTCAAACAAGTTCTTGAAGATGCTAGTCTGTGATAAAGCATCGACGACAGAGGACCCACATGTTCAGACTGCGGGTATCATCCTTTCAGGTTTAGCCATTCTAGTGCTAGACTAGATGTTGTACATTTATCATTACTGATGTTTTTGTTACTGCCAGTCTCACAACGAGCATGACCATCCATTAAGGTATTAATGTACCAATGACAAGTGCTGGAATGTTCTCTCTGATGTTAGGATCCCTGTAGATGTCTGTCAGAAGTAAATGTGGTGTGTTTCTAAGTGCTGTATGTGTACATGGCTGGCACAAGGTGAAGTACTCTCTTGAATTTCAGATTCATTTATAGATTTCATCTTGAGAAAGAGGGCCATGTTGTATGGACATGGTTTGAAAATGATAAAGGTATATACATTAGAGTTTTCCATAGAGCTAGCACAATAAGATGCCATGGCAACTGCTAAGCAGCATTGGGAGGTGTTGTGATCAACGCTGGCTTTGGAGCATGCAGTCACTGTCCAATCTGTTTACAAGCATTATCTTGACTGTCCAAGATAAACAGGTCTCAGTAACACAAATAGATTGAACCCTCCTAACGTCTATAACAGTGTTTGGCCAAATTTCCCCAATGAAAGACACTGTTTCTTTTTTCTAAGATGCCATGGCAACTTTTGAATATTTCATCTCTTGAATATTTATTGATTTTTTATTACAGTAGCATACCTGTGATGCTTGTAGACTGTAGATAAATGACATTGTAGATTGTAGTTAAATGCATATTAACCACTTTCTGTTGGCTCTAATTCTGCCACCTTTGTGTTCTCAAGTGTCAAGGGTGCTGTTCAATCAAATGTCCGGTCAACAAACATGAACAACGGTGTTCAAATGCCTGGTTCCATCATTGTATCAGATGTAATCTGTTGGTTCTCTTGTTTGCTGGCTGCAGGGTTTGATTGAACTGCATCTTTAGTCTCCCTTGTGTCGTTGCTAGAGCTGAATTCCACTTCTTCCTAATTCAGCTGTCATCATATGATCATACCATTATCATATCTCAGGTTTAATATGCAGGAATGTGAGCAATGAAGACTCATTTTGTATGTCTATGCACCTGTTTTTTGTGGAAGCATGACTTGATGTTGTGTTGTTGTGTCTGTTTCAAATGCAATACTGACAGTGTTTCTTTTCTGCTATCCATCTCCCTTCTTTTCCTCTTTTGCTCTGTGCCCTGCACCACCTCCTTGCTCCCCTTCCCTTACACCCTCTTTCTTGCTCTTTTTGCACCTGCTTTCCTAGGTGTAAACAGGTGCACGCCCCCCTCATACCCGCCCCCCCAGGACCCTATCAGCGGGGGTCAGTATGAGGTAACGGAGGACATGGCACAAGGAGAGGTTTTTGAATTCAGTCAATCCAAAAGAGGCCAGGCTCCATTCTGGCAGAATTTTAGTAGATTAGCTCCATTTAAGAAATAAAGATACACAGACTCTTCTAAAGGACCAGATATTTTTCTTAGAAGCACTAAACACTGAATAATCACGTGTCCCGTGATGAAGAAAAATTCGTAAACACATCTAAAGACACAAGAGACTCGAAAGTTAAGGAACAGTGTTAATACAGAGTTTGAATGGAAGCGGCAAGAGGACTGAAGACTTGGATTTGAAAAAGTGAGAGAAAATAAACTTTACAATTCACATACGTTGGTAACATTCTTAGTTATACTTCTCCAGCTGAGTCATCTCCATTGAACTCTTCCCTCGGATTCTGCATATTCACACCATCTGAGTGTCCTTATTGAGATTGTTATATTATTTAATTTTGAATCATCTAGAAAGAAACGAGGCCAAACCAAGTCATTCCTAGTAGTATGACTCTGTCTGAAAGCTGAGATCTTGCTGTGCTGCTATGTGAGATTGCTTACTGCATTCTTCTGAATGTGAGATTGCGTAATGACGTGCCTCAGCCACTGGCTGTGAAGCTTGACTGTCGGCGCCACCTTTGAGTTACCTCCATCCCGCCGCTGATCGCAGACCGATCAAGTTGTCTCTGCTCTACTGATGTCTGGCGTCTGGATCTCCTTCCCTCTCTCAACGCTCCAAACTCTCTCCGGCTGCCTGCCTACAGTAGTCCTCTCTTCAAACTGTTTACCTTCCCGCTCTGCATCACCTTCTTGTCCTCTCTATCGTTCAACCCACCTGCTCAGCCTCTGTGAGTCAGTGGCTCTCAGAGGAAAGAGGTTCATTCTTTTTGAAACCTGCCATTGGAAATGATATGATGTGTCAAGGAACAAATCAATAGTCGGAACATCAATAGATTATTTACATCCTTTCACCAACCACTTCTGACAGGGTATTCATATCCGATCACTCCGTGGGGCTGTGGGTTGCATTTGACGGAGAGCTCGCCGCTCAGATGACACAGCTGGGAGCAGGAGATAGGCAGACTACGCTCCACCTGCCTTGTGTGAGAGGCCCTCCCCCACCGCTCTCCCATGAGACCACCCCTGTAGCACTGTGCTGAATCCACTGAGAGCTGAAAGTGAAGTTGATGCATTGGCCAAGGTTTAAAGTAAAATATCTTTTTCATGTCAGTTGTAAAAAAAAAAATCTCATTTGACTCTATTTTGTATTGCTGACACTGTACAAAGCACAGCATCTATTCTGTCTGAGGAGTACCTTTATTTATTTATTGAGTAGAAAGAGGAAATTATCACAAAAAATGGCAAAAACTGTCAATTGACAAGACAGCTGTTTCTGTTTGTTGTGATTCTGAGTACACCAAGAAAGTAGACTGCAGAAGTGTTAGCCAATACCACCGGGAAGCAGAGAGGTGAATTTAATCAGTAGCATGCAGGTGTCTTCTGACAGATTCATGCATCGCTACAGACTGCAGCTTCAAATCTTGGCACCCCGCCCCGTCACGTCGTTTTTCAGATCTGATCCATGTTCTGGCAGTTAGCTCTGGCACCGTTAAAAAGAGATTTTACAAAGGACTGATCAGATTGATCCGTTTAATCAACATAGTCCCCGAAGCTGCTGTGAGAGAGAGCCTGCCACAGAGGCGCTAGGCAGGAGAAGATCTACTGAGGAGAAACTTCGAATTTACACGCATCATGAAGGTGTATTCTTTTCTACAGTTGGAATGTAAGTGAAACATCTGTCCATGGTTTGTGATCATATTTTGACCTCAGATACAGAAGTACATCTTGTGTTTTATTATTTCATCTGATTGACAGTACATATACAATATGACAACTTGTGCAATGTGATTTATCATTATATATCTCCACTATTCACTACATCATGATATGAAAGAGTTATATATTGTTCTATGTCATTCGTTTGCCTCTTTACAGGCCTCATAACCTATTGAGAAAAAAGACCTTAGAATTGCTTTGTATGTTGTGTAATTTATGTTTTGTTTCAGTAAAGAAAGTTGAGAAATGGGTGAGTTGGCTGCTGGTGTCTGTAGAGATGGCTCCCGGTGAGATTGTTTTGGAAGATAATTCCCTCGTCTGGTACAGCATAAAGATATGGTTCCCAGGCCATGATAACCTCAGGTCCCGTGCTACACCCACAACCCCATCCCCCACCTCCCCGCTCCACTGCCACCACCAGTACCAACGTGGAGACGCAAGCACGTAGGCAAACACACAGACACATAATCTCATGCATTTGCCGGCCCGTTCTGCTGCGGAGAAGAGAGATGCTATCTAACAGTGCCTTCCAGCATTCCACTAGTGATTATCTATTTAGTTTCACAGGCAGATTTGAATTAGTCATATATTCTCCCTTCTGTGTGGGACTTGCATCTCTCTGTCTCTTTCTCCCTTTCTCTCTCGTAGACACTGGGAAGTCCTCATTCCTAAGTGCGCGAGATCCACTCGGAAAGAAACTCAAAGGTCAGGCCGTTTCTATATAAGTCAATACTGTGCTGTCTGACTGAAACACATAAAACACCTTATTATATGATATCACTCTTGCATAGTGGTAATTTTATTGCACAAAAAGAAGTTAATTCTAATTTCAGACATTTAGAAACTACATAGAATTCCATTATTGTTATCTATTTAACATGCTGAAAGATGATTTAATTTGAATATATAGTGGAAAACAGATTTTCATTAGTCAAACTAGGTTTCACATTTCAGATTATATTAACAGTGAATCAAAAGATGAATCATCTATTTTATCTTTGTCAGCTACACACTGTAAATACTGTAAAAAGTACAGATCATATATTTGGATATTGGTATTTTGCGTTGGAGACGAATGTTGTTCCAGTTCTAGCGTGCGGTAGACCTCAGTACCAGGTAAATGCATGCTTGTGGCATCTAATATTTTGCATGAGACTTAAGACAACTCTTAACAGATTGTTTAGTTTTATTTCACTTCCAATGGGATTTTTTTTTTTTTTACAACAATGGAACCATTCATTTGTGAACCCATACCACCTGTTTTCTATCTACCTGTCTCCTGCTCACTTTACATTACAGGTTGTAGCTTCTGCTTTTATTTATTATCAAGTAGAGGGGAAGCTCTTTTCCTCATGTTAAATCAAAGACTGAACTGTTGATAGGTGAAATGAAAGGCACTGATGCGCTCTTTGCCCACATATAATGGGTACTCTTAACTGTAACATTATTTTAAACTTTGATTTTCTTCTCTTTATCACCAGTCTACACTTTCATGGTCCAGATTGCTGGTTATTATTATTATTTGGAATTCCATTAACTGCTGAGGCTAAACGGGTATCATTTTTCTGACACCAGGAACCAAATAGGAGTTAGCACTGATCATAGGTGTTTGTGTATGAGTCTGTTTTCAAGCAGAAGAGCTGAATAAATGCGAAACCTCTCGGGATGAGCTAAAAATAAACCTAATCCTCAAAATACGCACAGAGTATTGCACTGCAATTCATACCATGCTCTTGTTTCAGCTTAAGAAATGATTCTTTGATTTGACAGCGCAGATCAATTCCTCACTTGTATTTATTGAATACAGTATTAAAATAGTACCATTTTAGGCACATTGTTACATGGATGTATATATTGGTTTGATTTTTCTTATATAATTACCAGTTTGGCCCTATTCTGGGAGCTGAGAGGGCAGCCTTCTGTGCAGTTTATATTTTATAGTCAGAAATCAAGACAGCCAAGTTAGCAGACTGCCAATTGAATGCATCATATTTCAGTTATCCTTTTTAGTCCAGGGTGTACATGAGCCAGTAACTAGGTTCAGTCACATTTAGCATAGCAGCATCCTCAGTAGGAACTTCTCGTAGTTGGATATGTTAGCCAGGGTCTTCAATGAGCCATATGTCAATGTGGTGTTCAGTGAAGACAAAGTAAACAGAAGACTCACACCCCACTTTTGGAATCTGTTCATTGTATATTATCATCTATGAGGTCTGGATTATTGCCCATCACAGACAAATTCACTCATAGTATCTATATTATTTGTCACCATATCCAAACATGTCATTTTCTTTCTTGCTGGCCTTTGAGTTTGATTATTTGTTGTAAAAATGAAAAGCCTGAAAAATAATGCCTATTCAATCCAGAAACTGTGAATGGGAGAGTGGAGATGTCGACTGTATGTACATTATATGTTTTGATGTAATCAGAAGCACTGGGAATATGTTGTATTTCGCTGTAAAAAAATACATCCATATCTGATATAGCTGTACTTTTGTTGAAAATAAAACCTCTACAGAAACTGCGTGTCGGGGCGTCAAAGCGTGAGTGGGAGCATTGTGCTGGGTTTCCTGCAGTGTGACATCATTTCCTGTTTGTTGGGTCCATTCCTAACATCTGACAGATTAACCCCTGGACACGTTACAAATGAAAGGTCAAGCTTAAAATTAACAGCGTGAGATTAGATAAGAACATCATCAGGCTGGTATACAAACAAGCCGCTCAGCAAACTTTCAATCACAAACTGTAGCCTGCAAATAAAACTATATTGTATTCAATAATTAATGAGGCTTATGCAAATGGGTTCTTCCTGGCTGGCAGTGCTGAAGTTTGGGCTGATAGCTGCACTTCCTGATGTTTTGAAGTCCACAGATGCGAGACTGTTTTTCAGGCAAGATCTAAGACACCCTGGTGTGCTGCAGACAGTGTTTGTGTGTGTTTTGTGTGTTTGTCCAGTTGTGTCTGTATGTCAAAATAACTGAAGTGAGACTATATTTGATTGTGTAAACATACCTGTGAAAAGGACGGAGCTATGGGCATTAACAGCATAGACAATGAAACAGTTACAGGACAAAGACTATATGCAGTGTTACTGTGGTCTCTAGTGGTCAAACAAGGTGTTACACTACCCAAGGACAACAGCGGGTTTTCCAACATGGAGCCCTTCAATCTTGTGAGAAAATACGGTATGTCCAGCTCATTTTCCAGACCAGTCATGAGTGTAAAGCAACGAGGTAAGAAAATAAAAATGTCATTGACCATACTGTATTTGCTGATGCTAATGTGAACTTCATATGACTTCAGAGGTGTCATGATTCAAGTAGTTCCTCAACATCAGAGGAATGTCCAAACTTTCAATGGCCAGCTGCTTATTAGCTACGGGGATGTATCTTCGAATTGCCAGTCGACTCTGTGACATCAGTGTTTTGGGACAAACTGAAGAAGAAACAGAAAAATAAGGGGCAGTTAGCATCAGCATCTTGAGACATTCCACACAATAATGCTCACAGAATTTACTATAATTGGTGGCTCACCTCTCTCTTTGAGCAGCAGAGCCAGAGCTTCATTCTGCTCTGTTGTTTTGTCAACTGTAAGTTTAGGCAGATACACATCTGCCCCAAAGTCTATGAGAAGCTGGATGTACTCCTTCCCACACCCATAATGGAGACACACTTCCAGAGCTGTTTTTGGCTGCTTTACTTTGGCCAGCATCTTTTCTGAGCAGTTGAAGTTGGGGTTGGCTCCATAGAGAAGGAGTAGTTTAAAGCAGTCAAGGTGTCCATAAACAGCTGACATATAAAGGGGGCCCCTGCAGGCTGTGGGATGGGTGGCCCAGTATGGGAGTTTGGGTCTGACATCCACCTCAGCTCCAAAACGTAGCAGCTCTTGGAGCACATCTGCCTGGCCTTCCAGGACAGCAAGCAGCACCGGACAACAATTGTTGTACTGGCTGCCATTAGGATCGGCTCCAGCCTTCAGCAGAGCAACCACACAATCCAGATGTTTCCCACTGACAGCTGAGAACAGAGGCGTCTGAGCCTTCACATCCAGGCTATCAATCTGGAACCATAACAGTACAACAACAGGCTTTAACAACTGGAAACACAATCCTGACACTCCTGACTCATTTAACACCGCACTACTATACACATTACATTATCAGACTGACAATGTCCAGTTTAAACAAAGGATCAAAATCATTGCAGTATCATATTATCATTTTTGTTCCACACACTTCCTTATAGAAACTTTATTACCTTATTTAAATTCAATATTTGCCCTCCTTTTAGATCTGTTTGCACTTCCATAGATTTTTGAGATGCTAAATTAGCATCCCTAGCTCATCGCTAACTTTGCCCATCTGTCTTTGATACAGTAACTGTCACTTGGCATACATTGGACTTGTCAGAGCTTTTTTTTTTTTTTTTTTGCTGAGAACAGCCTGGTGCTTATGACAGTGATGAAGTCTGAAAGGATAACCAAAACAAAAAGCTTCTGTAAAAAATATTAAATGGTATAACTGATACAAAATGCAGAGTTGGTTAAAAATTTGTGTTGGCTTGTCACTAAGAGACTTCTTTCATTCACATATTCCTTTTATTGACTGTTTATATGAAATTATTCTTTAGTATAGCTATAATGCCCAGTGTTAAATGAAAATCTCACCTTTCATTTCTTACTTTTACTATGTGAAGAAGTCCTGCAGGACCAGTGTAGGAACCTTTGTTGGCTTTTAAATTAAATGCGTGATGGCTGAGTGCAGTTTGCTCTATAATGTCAGTAATGAAATAGAATACTTACTATACTGTATGTCCACTACACCCACCAGCAGGCACAGCAGTAGTGTCCCACCCCACTCTCCACACCCACTCTTAAAAACCCATCTCATCATCCGTATCTGAAAATTGTACAACAAAATGCTCTCTTTGTACCTCACCTCTGCTCCATGCTCCAACAGCAACTCCAGGCACTTCAGGTGTCCCAGAGCAGCAGCAGTGCGCAAGGGGGTGACCGGGATCCCCCACCCACTCCGAGCATTGATTGACCTCCTGTAACTCTCATGAGACAGAAGCTCAGACAGAAGAGTCACATCGTTGCTGCTCACGGCGTCGTTCAAGTTCTGACTCTGCTGGTTGTCCTCATCCTCTTCAGAACACTGCACCAGGGAGAAGATCTTAGAAATGTCCATCAAACTCATGTTGGTAGCTTGGCACAGAACAATAATGTAACTCCAGGCTAGTGTAAGTCAAAGTCCTTTCATCTGTTAAAGAAGAGAAAGATGAAAATACGTCCAAACACATACACAGCTCACACACTCTTGTCATTTTGGGATGGGCACAATTTCTATTTCAGCAAAACAAGCTTCTACATGTAATAAAAGAATAACACTTTTTAACATGACATAGAGTACTACCTTAAGACAATACTGTTTTTTTACATGTTACAATTACTGTGTATAAACCAAATCACATTAATACAACCTACATAGACAGAGTAGATGTAATGTGCATATTGGCATTAAAAATTAATGTTTTGCCCCTGAAGATCCACAGAATTTGATCAAAGTTTGTGTCTGAACTTACTGTAAGAAGACACTCATTGCTTGCGATGTTTCCAAAAATATTAGGAGGGAAGACCTTTCAAACGTCTGTTGTAAGTTACGTGGAAGAAAGAAGGGTTGACTAAGAAGTGTGTGATGCTTCCACAGGAGTTGTGAAAAGTTCAGTGCAGTTTTGTGTGTGTGTACGTGTTCTTGTGTTTGTGTATTATCTGACAAAGGGGCCGGAGCTGTTTTCTAGGGGGTGGGGGCTAATTTTAGGCCACAGATGGCCCTGGCTAAACTTCCATTCTTGGAGAGTCGAGGTTCAGGTTTATAATTAGAAAGGTGACTTGTGACACTCAGTTAGTGATTGGTGAGTGTGGCTTTGCCTTTCCCTGTGTCGTGAATAAAAACAAAAGGAAACCAAGACATCTATGTTAAGCATGTTAGAATTCTTCACCAGCGCTTTCAGCTGGTCAAGCTAGTACAGTAAGTATTCAATATACAACAGTTCATAACTGCATTTATTTCCCAATATGATACAAAAAATCTGAGAAAGACACTGTACTTAGTCTGTGGTGTATGCCCCATTTCCCTAATTCACACCAAAGCTGCCATAAGAGTCAACTGTCAGCTTGACAGAAGCAACCAGCCTGCTGTTCCTCTGCCAGACCCTCATATGTCTTCACACTGCCCCGCGTTTAGAAGGGAGGCAGTGACACATTGCATTCTTTCAACAGATGACACAAGAGTCCGGATTCTTGGTGATATAGAAGTACATTTATTTCAGCCCAAAGACATGAAACTATTACATTTGAATAACCAGGTTAGGTTTTAGTGCAAATGTCCTGAAACGTAACCCAAGAATAGAGACAAAATAAGAGAAATAAGCAATTGTAAGACAGTAGGCCTTATTTTACAGCAGACATTTTGACTTGTCATCAACAGTGGCAGTGTGGCAGCGAGCCAGCATAAACAACACCAGGACCATGACACCAAAGCAGCTACAGTGAATTCAGCCATCATTCATTTTTATTGTGTGCTTATTATTATTCTGTGCTTTTTCTGCTATGACATAACAAATATCTGTTTTGAAAAAGTCCAATAAGAATTATTTATTCATGGTGTTAAAGCTACTTTGCATTTATAGTAAATTGCAATTATTATTATTATTATTACTATGACAAAATAAATGTAATTAATTTAAACCACATCTTTGACATTTGCTCTTCATCATCATCATCGTCATATTATTATTATTAATGATACATTCCAAACAAAGTAGCACTAAATATTAACTTATTATATCACACCCAGTTAATGCAAAGCCAACACATTACCAATTTTATTATATTGTTGCTATCAAAAGGGTTATCAAATTTGCATTGTTTTATTTGCTATACTGCAGTTGATAATAGTGAAAAAAAATGATAACGCTTTTAAAATGACAAGTTTTTTTATATTAAAGTGGTCTTATAATTAATGAACAGACAAATTTGGTGACAATAAATGTATTGAATTTCATTTTAAAAACAAACTGTGTCCATGTGGCTCCCGTCAGGTGCTCCTCGTTGACCACCAGATGGCGCGAATGATACAGAAAGTGCAGCTGTAGCCAACGCTAAAAGAAGAAGACGTGCGCTGCCGGAAGGGGGAAGCTATTTTTTCACTGACCTTTGTTTCTAGTTATGAATCATTTTATTTTATTTTTTTGTCCAATAGATCTTTGTAATAAAAAAATCCTTCTTTTAAACAAATTTCTGTTTGTTTTGCAACGTGCAACTATATAGCTGAACGAAATGTGGTGTAATATCATCTGTTATCATATGAGACACTTCTAAAACTGCGTTGCACGGGTGCTGTAATGTGTACAAATGGACGAGGAGGAAGCTCTGCGTAACTACTGCAGAGCAATGATTGTACGTGTGCAAAACAAACTGCAGCGCACGGTTTTCTCCGAAGTGGAAGAGGGGCGGAGACACGAACGCAAAGAAGGCAAGGGGAGGGAGAGGACCGAACCTGAAAGACAAGGTGCAGCAGCGAGAGACTTAAGAGATCAAATAGGATGCATCCTCATTCCATCAAACCGCGAGAGAAGCCAGACCTCCCTCGATGTTGTGTGCCAAGGTTTTCAAGTTCAGCCCGTCCTCCTCGCTCTCATCTCAAGACTGAGGTTCAAAACTGTCACCGAGGAAATGGGACGGGTCAGGATCCGACCTTATATGAACCATGTTTCACCGTGTGACCTGTTTACTCTGTCTGATGCTTTATCTTTTTGTGGCAGGCTGCAGAGGTGGAGCTTCATGATCCCGCTGTCTGCGCTATGTGTGTGTCAGAAACGGCTTCTCTGGCCTTGAAAACTTTTATCAGGAAGAAGACACAACTGCAGTTCCAGTCAGCGAAGAGTAGACTAAACACAAACTTGAACTACGGATTAGGTGACGTTAAAGACAGACCAACGCTGTCAAAATAATATGTATGTCTGATCACAACCCAGACTCATTGTTTATATGATTGTACATGTTTGGGGAGTTTGTGTAAAATTTCCCAGTTCTCCAATGCCCCTAACTGGATTGGGGAGGAACTACTTGGTAGAAATATGCGGGTCACGGCAACCTGGAGTTGCCTTAGCAACCACTAAGGAACGTGGAGTTGCCCTGGCAACAGATGTAATAAGGGGTTACCCTGACAAAAACGCTACGGGAACCCATTTAGTAAGACCTCGCTGTCCTTTTCCAGACGGATAGCTGCAGACATAATGGGAAATGTTGTGGTGAAGTCAAATATATTCCTACCTGTTTCACACATAAGCCAAACCCACCCAGTAAATGTTCCTTGGTTATCCTGCTCAGCTACAGCTGGGTTTACTTTCTTCCAGTATCAGAAACAAACACGTAGCTTGTGTTTTGAGCATAAAAAGGAACATAACAAGGTTATTATAAAACAGCCATTTATTACTATATTAAAGTTTTAACACAACACTATTCAGAGCAAATGTATGACTTTTTTTTTGTCCAGTTTGTGGTCACTTTAACACTGTAAACATTAAAACAACATTGTGTTTTGTTTAAATCTATTTGATTTTACATTGGCACAAATAATACATAACAGATAGCCATGGAAGCATGCATGCAATGCAGAAATTTAGGAATTACAGTACAATATCTAAGGCAATAAACAAATAGCAAAATAAACAAATTTATTTGGACACTTTATCAAGTTAGTTTTTGCATTACTGCAGTTACAATGTTTAGGGGCTAATGATACTACAAAGACAAAGGAAGTTATACAACTACATATAAACACATCCAAAGCACCGATAAAAACATAGAACAGAATGACATTATCAGATCATCAGTTGTCAGGTTACTAAGACAAGGTGGTAAAGAGAGGACTGAATGAGGCAATTGTCCTGAAGCACTGATCTGTTACTTCAGCCATATATGATGTACGTGGCTGATCTTCAGTCAGTGTATTGGACCAGTTCCCTTGAAACCCTACTGAAGATGAAGGTGGATGAGCAGCTACTCATCTGGCTTCCTCTTGGGCTTCTTTGGGTTGCGTGAGCGGCTCTTGGCCTTGCACAGTGGGCAAATGGGAGCGTTACGATGAATCTGCTGGTGGCAGGACAGACAGGCCTGGAGAGAGGGAGATATGTTTCAGAGCAGTTACTTCACATCATGTCATTCTTGTTGTCTTTTAGAAACAATCAGGCAACTTTGGTGGTATCTAGCAAAGAGTAATATTTCATTCATTTAAATTTAGGGTGGTTTGTTTTCTTACAATTTTCTCCATACATGGCATAATTAAGAGCCAATTAAATCCTGGAAAGTGTTTTTTCATTATTAATAAACAATCCATAATGCAGCCTAATTAACTGCATTTTACGCCTTAAATGAAAATGACTGTTCTTGTATTACGCCAGACACGCCACTCGCTACTCAAACTTCATAAGATGACATTTTTTACAGCTGTTTCAGGTCATCAGGGGCCATTACCTTCATAGGTGGGGGTTGCTGCCTGAAGGTAGCTGTCTGGCGAGCATCTTGCTTCCTGGACACCTGGAGCTGCTGTGCTGCTGCTGCAGCAGCAGCGAGCGACTCTGGGATGGCAGGCTCATGCGGCTCCTTCTGCCATTCTGCTTTCTGCTTCTCAAAGTAACTATTAAGAGACGGAGAGAGAGAGAGAGAGAGACCTGTTTAGCTGTGAATCTTATTCTGACCTTACGAATCACATTACAGGTGAGACTATCCCATCTACACTAAGAGATAAAAAAAAAACCAAACACAAAGGAGAATTAAATTCAGGGTTGGGCAATATTTTTCCACAGAGAGAACCACATCAGAAATCTGCCACAGCACCAGGAACCACACCCATGGAAAAAAGCTTTTGAGTGCTTTGTAATGGGAGATTAGGTACCATGTGTAATTTGTGCTTATAAAAAACATTAAGCAATCTGATACCAACATACTCATTCAGGTAAATATATTTTTCTACAAATAAAAATGTGAAGCGAATGCATGTATGAATGCATTTGCTACAGAGATATAGTTACCCTTCCAAAGTCAGTTACTGGACTTTAAGTGTAGTTGGATTTTTAACACAAAGAATAACTTTCCAATTCACTCATTTTATAAAAAACATTTTCTGAACAAAATAATTCATTTCAAGAATGATTTTATTTACCCAGATCATTCATGTATCTTGCTTAACACAGAGGCACAGATTATATCTGTTGGCTCTCAAATGTTACAATTACCTATTTATATTTAAATCACTGTGCTTGAACAAGTGCATAAGTCAACATTGTAACAGAAATGCGTACTTTAAGAATGGCAATATGCTCCATGCAAATTAAGTACACTGCTTTACCGGCTGCTTCGGTGAAAAAATATTTAGAAGTCCACACGTTGTTAAACATCCTGCAGCCTTTCTCTTTTTGCTGCTCATTTTGTCGGCAGCATAGCACTTAGATCCTTGCTAACCAGTCTTTCTAGTGCATGTTCAAATGTCACAGAGATGTCAGACTCAAATTATGCTTTCAGTTGTGCGCTGTGTATTCCTCCACTTCAAAATAAAAGCCACAGAATTCATTTCAGGGAGAGATGGTTTATGGAATTTTGTAGGATGTTAACCAAAGATAACCAGCTAAATTTTCAGTTGAAATTGTTTTTAGCTCACAGGCCAGATGAGACTTGTCAATGGGCCGCATCTGGCCTACAGGTTGTAATATGCCCAGGTCTGCTTAAATTGGAGAACATTATAGTCAGGATCACGTCCTCTTTTTATGTATAACTCTAAGCAAAGGTATAGTCATTGTGACTGATAGTGTTTATCTGCATAGAAGTGAGTATGTCTGTGTGTGGGCTGGGGAGGGCTGGGAAAGAAAATCTGGCCTTGGACTTTATGCCTGGCTGGCCCATGTTCCAAAAAAAAAAAAAAAGTGATATCCCATTTCATTACACTCTCTGGTCTCTCTCGAAATAGTTTTGTAATAGAGCAGAGCACCCACAGAACAAATTTAATGGGTTACATTTCCTGTCACTGTGATCCACCACAGCACCACACATTAAAGCATGTAGTATTTTCAAGCCACACATTAAAAACATGCTACAATAATCCAGAGTTAATACACATTTCATTCTTGTTTTCAGAAGAGGTGTTTCTGTTGAAATTTTTTTTCCCCACTATTACTGAGGTGTAGCATGCACAGTTTTTGCTGATATATCACTGTCACAAAGTAAAATGTGTCTAACGCTCTACAGGCCTGCAAGGTGTGATTTAATTTTCTCCAAGGCTGCTCTATCACATCTTGTAATACAATTACAGTAGGCAATATGACTATTAAGTAAAATGACTCTAACATTACTTTGTTGGCAGCAAGACGCAAGAGTGATAGCTTTAATATCACCTCAGGCACTATTAAAAATATGCAATGGGTTCTTCCTTCCAAGAAAAACTACTTAAGAACAACAGTGATAATCCACATTATCTCATAAATACAGGGAACACCAAGGAGCACACCACGAAGAAGGAAAACCACCTGGTCAAAATTGAACTCGTCATTTGAGTTTCCACACAGCACACGGCCAAAATGAGAAGCCAGTAAGGCAACATTGATGTCAGCGTGCAGAGCAGCAGCAGTCCAACAAGAAGCTCGTTATATGTGAAGAAATTTTCAACTTGCAGTACATTAATTCTCCTAACCAACCAAAATGAAAATTACAATTATTTTTCTAAGTTCCGTAACACGAACATAAATGCCACATCTCAGCAGCCTTTCCTTTGAGTGAGAGACTAGATCAGCAATTGTCGCAATCATTACTGCCAAACTGGGTCTGAACAATAAAAGGCAATCTCTGATTTTAAAAAGTACTTCTCTACAGCTGTTCCAATGAAAAGATAAACATGATCCTTGGGCCTATTAAATACCCCCGATCATAAAAAAGCCAGTCGTACCTACCCCCGATCATAAAAAAGCCAGTCGTGTCTAAACAGCTTTTGCATGTTCCTACAATATACAGCAAAATGTGTATGACGACATTAATAAAGCTAACACTTTGACATGGGAACTTCCTCCTAGTCCAACACTGGAATCAGCCTCACTTTGATATTCTAGCACCATTTGTTCCTCAGGACTACAGTCTTTGCAGCCAGGACTCTGACAGCCAACTCTTCTTGATGTGCCTACTGTATGTTGTGGTTAACAGGGACTTTATAAAGCTTGAAAACAGACATACTTTGCAAGAGCATTTTTGTCAGTTTCTCAAGCCGGACAATCTAGATAACTAGATCAAATGTGTTGTTGTTGAACTGCACTGCATTATGCTGACAGGTGTTTCTATTGTTTTTCTACCCTATTCTGTGTGTAAATAAAGCAAACTTTAATCACACAAAAAGTACCAAACTGGTGCACCATAACTTTAAAAACCTTGAACATGTTAAGCAAACAAAATATTTTTCAGAACTTAGAAGCATATTCTAACACTTCTATTTAATACTACTGGCTATTTTCTCAACCTTACTGGCATCCTTGTCTTCTCAAGTATCAACAGCTAAACAATTCCAACCTTCTCAGCTGAGGGCATCTGCTCTAGGATTTCCTGCCCTACTTTCCTTAGTGATACTTCCTGTCCTCATCAAAATCCAGTGAGTTACATCAGGACTATTTCTCTGTGCGATGGTCGACTTCCTTTTACAGTATGTAAAAGATTGCTCTGTGTCGTCTGTTTGGTTGTGTCTGAATATGATACAGTTTATAGTTTAGAATATGATACAGTAGTAAACTGAAGTGTTCTTATTAATAGACTGAAACATATCAGTCTCTGTTCAGTATTAGAAGGACTGTACAGAATGGCAGTCTTTAACCGGGCAGGGATTCCAACATTCTGTGAACGAGTTAATTTTCTAAAAAACACTGTTTTCTTGCGATGTGCCACAAGGCTCCATTCTTGGACCACTGAACAATTTTCTTTGTATAAAATTAGCTAAATCATTAAGTTTTTCTGTAAGCCTGATTAACTTTGACCTTGGCACAGAACACAATTTCAATCTGTACAATTCGTTTTTAATGTTTGTACACGGTCCTATATACAGTACATCGCATTCTGTTCTGTAACACTACGCTGGTTCACACTGAAATGCCATCTGTTGCTGCAATCACTCATTGAGGCCCGCTGCTCAAATATACCTGAGTGGTGACTGCTAGCTGCTATATTTTTTCCACTTTCCCTTTTCACTAAAAACAAGATTCTCTTGCCTTTGCCAGTCAAAGGACTCATATTAAATTAGGATGTGGTCTTCTTCCTTATGGATGCGTTAGTATCTAAAGGTAACATGTTTGCTTGGTAACATTAGCAACCTAGCATGGTCATGTTTTTACCTTTGTACTGAATTAATGATTTTAATTTGGGTCTAACATGAGGGTTGTGTAATGCTAGTGCTTTGCATAACATTAGCAGTAACCATAGCGTTTGACTGGATTCCCAGATGTATTTGTTAGTCAGTTGTTTCCCACACGTAGATGTATTTGTTGTGAGCCGCCACAATATCAACACTGACAACCACATATTAATTTAAAATACATTAAATCTTATTTCAAAGTAGTGCCATGTATAGGGCATGTATTTGCTCATTCCCTTTGTGCCCTGCCCTGTTTCTCTCACACGCAAACACAAACTCATAACAACCATGGCAACAATCCATCTGTGAACAGCTCCTCCTCTCAATGTTTGTTTTTTTAACATAAAGCTGTCAATCACAGAGATCCAGCTCTTCTAGTATATTATTAGCAAGCTAGTAATGCTAGCTAAGCTAGCTGTATTGGGTATGGACTGCTCTGCAAGTGGATAAAGTTAATGCTAGTTCATAAACTCTGACACTGAATGTTTGACCCCTTAGTCCAGGGGAATATCAAGAAACACACATGGGACAAGCTGCTCAGCCCAAACAGTGTGACTAGTGATCCAATTGATTCATTTTGAATATTTATTGGTTTAAACCAGCGCTGCTGAAGCAGCCAGACAGGGTCAGGAAGAGAGAGATGTAGGAGGAGAGCAGCAGCCAACATGCTGCTGCTATGGGAGAGCTAATGCAGAAGGGACAGGTCAGATCAATAGCACAACAGCATTACTATATTTAATGAAAAAGATAAAAATTGTAAAAAGCATGGCACCTCCACCCCTAAGATACTGCCACAATTAGAATGTAATTCTGTGGGAAAGACTGATTAATATTTAGTCAAAATTATTTTTGATGTTTTCTGATGAACAGTGTGTGTCAATCGGCTATAAACATCTATGTTAAGAAAATTTTATGAAACCTTGAGATAGCACAGAACATGGTTGTAAACTCACTGTAAACTGTATCAAGCATTCATTCATTCATTCATTCATTCATTTTCTACCGCTTAGTCCCTGAACGGGGTCACGGGAGGGCTGGAGCCAATCCCAGCTGGAGCCAATCCCAGCTGGCAATCGGGCGAAGGCGGGGTACACCCTGGACAGGTCGCCAATCCATCGCAGGGCTGTATCAAGCAACATATTATAATGTTGCTGGGTAGAAGGGTTGGGAGACCAGAGCCTGTCTTTTCCTCTTTTATTGACACCCAGGGAACACAGAGCAACCACACAGCACACACTGAACACTGCCACAACAATCCT